AAATCTTATTTTGTTAATAACAATTGCAATTTTCTACCTGCACCAAAATCCTTCAAAAACATTTTTCTAGAGGTGATTCCGAATCGAATGAGCTATCGTTCAATTTTTAAGACCTTTATCTCTATTTTTCATGTTTTTGAACTTGTTGATTAGACTATTAATACTTGTTTTTCTGTAGTTTGTATAGTGCAAAATAAAGACTGAAAAGTTGCTACTATCGGAACTTTGAAGGGCCGTAACTTTGGAAATAAGAGCACCGATTTTTTCTTTCGGAAAGTGCAGCCTTTCAAAAATTTTGCCATTTTTCCTTTACGCGCCATCGTCCAGCTAAGCACTAAAGCTGCTTCGAAGCATAGTATGAAGATAATAAGATCAAATAGCTCCTGCCGAAATGTAGCAATGCAGAAGCGACACATATTTTTATTATTCGTTTCTCGAAAATTACGACTTTGAAACTTGACGTTGACCTTCTATTTTCGGAATTACAACTTGAAACTCGAAATTTTGAGTTAAAAGTCGTTATTTCGATTTTCAAAGTCGCATTTTAAAGAAACTTATAATAAAAATGTGTAGTCCATATGCACTTCCGTACAAACTGAGAGTAATTTTCAATTTTCATAGATCTATATAGAGTTGTAATAGAACCAAATAATTCATAAAATATCAGATATAAGATTATGAGTTTTGTGCATGAAACATGTAAACTGTCACTAGTTTTACCAATGGAAAAAGTTATTAGCGAAGAGAGCCGACCGTGCCATACGATTCCGCGCATTATTGGAGATATGAAATCGTTACCAATTGGCAATTTTCATTGCCATAAAGAGGTGAAAAAATTGAGTTTTGACATTTTGTGTGGAATGCTTCTTTCTTAATGGAAAGCTCTGTATGTAATACGTTTTATGGTATTAGCGGCAGTTACGCCCCGGCAGACTTTTTCATTGCCTGAAAATTTGAAATTCAGCTTCTGCGAGTTTCTGATACTATCGAAATTGACCTATCATCATTGTATTTACAGAAAAGCTTGAAAACAAGTTGATGTTAAAATATTCGTTAGAATGGAATAAACAACTATTCGACCTGACTTGTAAACAGGACAGTGCCAAATTGACCAAACTAGAGTTACACTTACATGATACGACCTATTTTAAAGAAGCACTTTCAAGCAACTTTCATTTGTTTCGCTTTGAAGTACCTAACCCAGATGCGTGAAATGCGTATCTGTTCTTTATGATAAATAATTGAATTATTTGTTGAGTCGAAATATTTTTTTCGGATATTTAGTACCTAATATGTTTCCGAGTATAACATGGTCAGAATCGGACTAAAATGCTTGTTAGATTTACCTATAATATGAATCCGTTGCTGTGGAACTTCAGATGCTATTAGGAACTCAGCAATGAATTTTCCCACTGGCTTCACATTCGCACTTGAAACCTCGTACGACTTGTTTCCTGCCACGGACCAGTTTATGTAAAAAACATTATGAGGACCTAGTTTGAAGTATTCTTCTCTAATCGGTGCGAACCATGGTGAGGTGTCGTCCGTTGTCCATCCGTGTATCAACAAAACCGTGGGTATGGTTTTATCCAGACTTTCATTTGCCACGTTCCCTTCGGTTAGGATTTTATAATCGGCAGTCGAATCTCGGAATAATTTGTAGATTACGTCGTTTTTATCTGCTTCTGCCAGGTCGAAATCAACTGGTGGATATTGTGAGTAATCTTCCATGCCTAAAAGATTTGTAAGACGTGATTTTATTGCTCCATTCAAAGTCGACATAAAAACAGTTACCTCTTCAAACAAGAAGTATCATAAACGATAGGCTGAAACTATTTAGAATGAAGATCTTATCGAAATATCAAGCATGTGTTTTAATTTGTCTAATTTAAAATAGAATTGTATCGTGGTAGAATGGAACGTCATAATCAATACTTATTAAAACAGGACCGGCTTGAGGGAGTCGCAATGGGAAAACTGGTTGCATCGGTTATAACCTGACTTGTTGCAAGAAAATTATTGACTAAAAATGTTTCATGAGAATAAAAATTTCAAATGAAAATTGAAAATACTCCGTTCTTCCAGCGATCTTACACAGTAGGATCTGAAAAATACCTACCGAAAAACAACCATATCCCTAGCTAAAATCACGACGAATGACGATAAATCGGTTTCAGAGCCCCAAGCAAGAACAGAAACGAATTAGCAGTGTCTGATGGCTGCGTCGAGAAGAAATTCATACGCCATCTTTCACAAATTTCCTAGGAGTAGGTCTTTGCAATTCCCAGCCGAAAAACGAATACTTTCCTGTCTAATATCTCGAGGTATATTGTGTTATATCCGATAGCTTATTTGTAAATTTTCTCACAAAGAAAATTCTTACTGATGTTTCTTGTTTGTCCAGGTATTTGTCATATACTTGTGTCCCATGAAATTAAACTTATTCAGAACAGAATGGTATCGATTTTTTTACCGGCCATTTTCGTGCTTATTGAAAAGTAAGGTATTTCAGAAATATTTTCTGAATGCATTCGACATTGTCAATTTGCACATGAAAATACCAAATGAGTATTCTACGCTCGAACTCAAATTGAACACAACGTTATGAAAGTCTACTAGTCTAGCTCGTAAGTTCAAATTCGTGTGAAATAAAAATGTTACTTTGTTTCAAGAGTTTTTCCAGTTTTAATGCCATGTGTTTTTGTAGCTCCATATCTCAATGAGTATTTATTCTAGTATGTCGTGGTTATTCTAAATTTTAATTTGTTAACTGTTTTCAGATATGGCCATATTTCCAATGGAATTAGGGTTTACAATCACCTATTGACAAAAATCGATCAGAAGGTATCTTACTTCAGATACAGAAAAACGCTGAAAACATACTTACTGGATAATTCGTATTATACAATAGACTAGTTCTTATCTTCTTGGTGAACTCTCTTTGCTCCTAGTGGCTAGCTAATCATATATAATAGAAACGTCAGTGAATGTTATCAACCAATAATTCATCAAACCTCTTATACCCATGGCGTTCAATTTTGATTTCAATATTTTAAGATTGAAGGTCATACAAATTATTACAATAAACTTTTTTGATCTACTTCCAGCGTCTCCCGAAAAGTTAACAGAAATATTAATATATCTTAACTGCTCTACAGAAAATAATATACAATTTGCATAAATTTTTTGAGTCATTATCTACAAAATCAATCATGCAGCAGAAGATATAAAAATATATCACAATTCACAGTATTGCAAAATGCTTCTCTTTCCTCCTCCGAAATAAGATGGACCCTCCCGAAACAAAATTCTGTATACGCTACTGGTCCTCAGTGTTTCAAGTTAAGAAGCGAGCAATTAGTTACAAAATAACGAGTGGTTTGAATTTTCTTACTGTTTATATTGGTTCAACTGTCAGGGAAAAATTTTGCTCAATCTTTGTTGAAACAAACTACATGTACTTAGGTACCTACTGCCAGAACACTTAAAAACATGACACATTTTGGGTTTTCAGTTCATTAATTTGTACACCAACTGAGAACAAGTTAATGATCAGCCTTGAAATAAATGGTTTGGCGATCGATAAGTATCGATACAATCAAAACTGTGCAAGTACTCACTTATTTCATTTCCTACCAATGGCGTGTTACTAAGATTCCGCCCAGAAATTGTGTGAGTGATATTGTTATATCTTTGGGTTTTCAAATGAGTGGCATGGTTTGCTAATGACACCGTTATTGGAAACAAATTTCCAAAATAGAAAACACTGCTAAGTAAAAAAACTGGTAACGAAAGAAACGGACGTTTATAATTCATGGCTGAACTTTGACTGATCAAATAATCTTCGAAGACACTTACTTAATCAGTTGAAGAAGTTCAAGAAATTACGAAATGTGTTTATACAAAGATATGTAATAATTATAATCAGTTTTCTGAACAAACTTTGATTTTTGAAGTAAGTCTTCTTTACGCGCACTTGATTTGGCGAGTACATAAGCTCGTGAATGCGTGACGAGAGCGTGACGAAAAAAGTGATCGGGCGAGGCGAACGGAAGTTGAGAGGGAGGTATAAGTTAGTGAGGCTAGAAAGAGAGAGTGTTACGTTTCGTATACTAATGTAAGGGCAAGAGTGAGAGGAGCGAGTACACATTTACGGTCGAGTAGGATCTGAATAACGTTGCCACTAATTTCGGCAGAAGATTTCAATGTTGATTTCGCGTCTGAAGATAGACAACTCTTGGTGAGCTTTCTACAGGATAAATTGGAACTACAAATGGATAATAACCGAAATGAGCCTACAACAAGACATGGAACAACAATCGATGCAGTTTTCTCTAACTATCTTGCTAATTTTCCTTCAAAAACATATCTCACATATAGTCAGTGAGCATACTTGAAGACTAGCTATACATCTAAAGGAACAAGTCGTTCAGGCCAGTCTCAACTCCCTACACTGTAGGTTAATGGACTGACACCTATCAGAAAACATCTATTCCCTTGGCTAATACCATGGAGGGCGTTGGATTATATCCGACAGGTGTCAGTACAGGATTCTTCACTGAAGTTATTCCTGCATATGCTGTTGGTGATACAACTGCCGCAACAGATTTTCAATTTATTGGAACACACTTGCAGACCGGTTTCAGGCTGTTTGGCCACTCGTCAGTGCAAGGTAGTGTATATCATCAACAAAAAGTCGATGATTTCCGATAACTGAAAATTGAATTCCTTCAGAGTATCATTCCTTTATATCCAGTCTTCAAGTATGCCCACTGACTATATGTGAGAAGTTTTCTTTTCTTATACGAGAATTGGGCAACTTTCGGATATGCAGTTGGTTACCTCGTTCACAGGCAGATGAGGCGATGACAAACCTGTTGTTTGTTGTAGTCTTCAGCTTAGTTCGAGGAATGATACTCTGACGGAATTCGATTTTCAATTATCGGAAATCATCGACTTTATGTTGATGATATACACTACCTTGCACTGACGAGTGGCCAAACAGCCCGAAACCGGTCTGCAAGTGTNTTACACCCTATATAAAAAATCGTTCTGAGGTTTTGAAACAAAAATCTTCAAATACTTTTAATTTTGCCATTTCTACCTACTTAGCGGGGTGAGATCTAGTATCGAATCTTGAATCAAGCGGCTTTTTATTTGAAAGGCCATCGATTTTTATTTTCAACGTTTCGTAAAATTTGTCAAGAATATATTTTTGTTGCTTTCGCTATATTCCTAGAAGTGATGAATAATTTACATTCCATTTGTCTCTATTCAAACAGTATGTTGACTGTTTACAATGGTTTATTTAACAGTTTTACGATAATTGAACTGTGAGATAAGAACGGTAGGTGCACTAATATTACAGTGCAGTTGTTTAATGACCAAAACCCGGATAAGAATGTTCACTGAGTTACGTAATTGAACTTTTAGCCAAATTTAGAGGGGAAGGATAAAACAAGAAATCTCGTAAATGAACAAGTGGGAAACAAAATTTATAGGTGTCGCCTCGCTTCGAGAAGATTCCTATCGGCTTTCATAAACTTTCATTAGGATATGTAAACACTACTAACAGGAGATGTGGCAAGTCTAGTTGAAAGTGCGGTACGAAATGAGCTAACAAGGCGATAGACATTCGAGTATTAGTCTGAAGTTCAGTTGGAGCCTTTGTATTATATTGGCAGTGTAGTAGTGAAATAAAGTTGAGTTTCATTATTGTAAAACCCACGGGAAAAACGCAACAAAACTATAATATGTTGGTCAGTGACGAGACCTGGGGAGTGGCCAGATTGAAACCTCAGTGTAGTCATACCTTCTTGAAAATGGATTCAAAGTCGAAACCGAAACGTTGAATAACTGTTAAAACACCAGACGCGGTTCAATCCTGATTTCAGGGCGTAAATCATTATATTATGTTGTTTTTTTTATTTCTATTCGATTTGATTTTAAGAATGAATATAGAATGATTAAAAATTGTAATGATATTCTAATCATTTCACTTACCTTTCAATCAAACTCTGATAATGGTGTTAAGAGTTTACTGTTAGACTCTTATTTTATGTGAATATACCTCAAATCGTGCCGCCCCCCTCAAATCAAATCAAAATTTGGGGAGCGGCAAAATTTTGAGAACGTTAAAATTTAAGAGCCGAAGAAATATATTGAAAATTTATTTTTAAATTGGTTCTGTTTTTTTTTTAATCTATTAACATTTTTCTATGGACTATAACATAATTCATTTCTTCATTGATTTTTCAATTTAAGGGTGCATTATTAATATTTTGATGAAATCCAATTATAGTCTTTATCGAA